AGTTGTTTTGTCGGCTTTTGCGAACTCCCAGATAAATCTGTCTTAAGCATACATGGGAATCGTAACATCATCTTTCTCTGCGTCATTTTTCCGATTGTTTTTTGTTTCCGCTCCATTTCAAATGTTTCCCATACTGAACTCCATTCCATTTTATATAGCTAATCATTAAATCGTGTTATTTATGGAGTTCAAGTGACTACTATTAGTGGGTACCACCACCGTTGCTCTCAACTGCCGCAATATTCATCCCTCTTTATTCAGATATGGTATTGCTCCCCCCGTACACTGCTCCACGGCTTACGTGATCGTTGGTCTCTGTTAGTTCGTAACAGGTCCCTGTTACTAAAGTTTACCATCTATATGTCTTGATACGCTGCGATCTGTCTAAGGAGACGATATAATTCCCACGCATTTTCGTTTTACATGCCATTTTACAAGAAGAAAGCTTGAAGTCAAAAGATTCTAGATCGTATATCGTATTTTCGTGCATGGTGTCTTCCCATATATTAGGACTACTGGTGCGAGGTCATGTCTTTCTGACTGAATCACATTACTGTCTATTTGTTTTTATCCCAAACAGAAGAGACAAACGTAAATCCCGTAAACCCTAATCCTTCCTGTTATTCTTTTCTCCCACTTTAACAGCCCACATTCTAGTCATTCCAGTGTCACAGACGCAGAAACTCGTGCCTTCCGACCAACTAGCAAAGTTGCACACACACCTGTCCAGGAACGATCTGAGACGAATGGTGACCGACCGAGTGTAGAACGTGCGAACTCCGGTGAAGTGAAAGATACACCAAGCGCTCTGAATACCGCAGCCGGCTCTACGACACCTTGCAAATTGTCGAATGCCTCACCGACTCACACTCAGGGCCAACGTTAGTACTTTTCAATCAGATTTTATTTTATTTTTTCGCTTGTTTTTTTTTCTTGCGTTATGTGAACATGTACTACTGGTCAGTCAAGCCGGTAACCAACTGAGAAATGTCATATGTAGTTTGCCAACGAAAAACACTCACAACCGAACTTAATTTCACTTGGTGATTCATTTAATACTGAAGGACTCTCTGATCAGAAGTGTTTGTCTGTTGCACATATCCCAGTCTAATCAAGGTCTCGAAACATTTTGCCCTCTTTCTGGCAATTCCAATTCAGTGGCTATGTACCTCTTGTTTAATGGTTGCTAATCCGGTCCGTCTATCAGATTTGTGCAATCCTATCCTGAGAGTTCTGTTCGTGAGACAGGTTTCGGGTAATTTCATCAGTGCGCTACACTCAAATGTGTTATAACGATTGACTAATGGTGACCTCCAACTCTGTTACTTCAACTTCGCTGTTCGTCGCACACCCGTCCGTTGGTCAACTTTTATTTCGCTGCAACCTGATGCGGATTATACGTTGTAGAATAGATATATGAACTATACTCTGAGGATATACTTATTCGCTTCCCTTGTTTGCATCACTTGACAGCCCTTCGATTGAACACCTTCCGCCTCCCCACCAAAAAAAAATTAATAACAACATTGTATTGCATAAAAGAGAATACGAGGTTCAAAGTAGTGTTTATTAATGTTCGTTCTGTCTTGTTCACTCCTGTTCACTGAATATCTTTTTGGTGCATGTTGAAGCTTTGTTTTGTAACGCGGTTGCCCAGCAGGACCAATTGTTAATTCCCCTCCCTGTTGTACCGTCTGATCTGTAAACCCATAGCCTCATTGGCGTGGTAAAAATTACGGTAATGACCCTCATCTCGTGATTTCTGTGTTTTAACTTTACCTTGTCGGTCTGATTCCCTAGAAGTTTTCAGTCGACCACTGTATCCTTCCTCTATATTGGTTTTTCCTCTGCCGAATAATAAATAAGCGGAGGAAAAATGCGCTCTAGTATGGCCACTATTTCTCGATTGTTGTTTGGCTTATTTCACAAAGGATTTTAATTACTGGTCCTTTCAAATTATTGGAGACCACTGAGAAATTGTATGGAGAAATTAGATTCTTGGCCCAATATCTTTTACCGTAGGTTCCATTAGTTATCTTTTGACATGATCTAGTCCATATGGCATTTTCTATCCGCTAGCGATATTCACGATTGGCATTTCTTTTATCATTTTTAGATAAACTGAGAAGGCGAGAACGTGGGTGAACAAATGGACTAAGATGACACATCAGAGGTAGAGAGAGAAAATGATGAATTACCCCGTGTGATTGGCATCAGATCTCCTCCAACATTTATTGATTGTTGTACAGACGATCAAGTTAGCTAGTTGGGAAAACCAGACCCCAGCTGAATTAAGAAACATGTGATTTTTGGACCGGCATTTCCTCCGTTACCATGGTCGTTGTAGCGGACATAGCACTGCCATTGAGATTGGGTCGAGCAGAAATATTTGGATCACAGTGTGACAGAATGCTACAAAGTTACGTGCTGATTCGAAAATCCTATTTCGAGTTGCCTGAATTGAAAGTTGGATCCTGGATTTTTGCAGTTGGCTTTTTGGGCACAATGTGCGGTTTCATCCTATTTCCTCGTGTTAGCTCATCTACCAAAGTTATAATTCGAGAAGCAGCGTTCATATCTTGGCTGTTTTTCGTTAGTGTTTATGTTCACACACATACTTTTGGCTTTCATTCGAATGACTGTCAAATGAGTACAATTAAATTGCTTTACCTCTTCTTTCTAATCTGAGATCCAATGAATCCATTGAATACGGGTTTCTACTGCATTTAGAATATCACCTCGATTGGTGATGAAACGTTTGCAATTTATGTGTCAAGCTTGACGAACTATTCGAGTTACAAAATCGACGACCGACACCATTGTTTACGAGGTATATCTATCTATCTATCTATCTATCTATGTAGCAATCTATCTATATATCTATCTATCTATAGTCCATCGATTGTTTATCTATCTATATATCTATGCATATTTCTGTCTATCTATGCTATAAATCTATCTATCTATCTATGTATCTGAATATCTATCTAACTATCTGTCTATTTATCTATATGTCTATCTATCTATCTATCTATCTATCTGTCTATCTATCTTTCTAGTGATATATCCATCCAATATCTATCTATCTATCTATCTATCTATCTATCTATCTATCTATCTATCTATCTATCTATGTCTATCTATCTATCTATCTATCTATCTATCTATCTATCTATCTATCTATCTATCTATCTCTGTATCTATCTATCTATCTATCTATCTATCTATCTATCTATCTATCTATCTATCTATCTTTAATCTATCTATCTATCTATCTATCTATCTATCTATCTATCTATCTATCTATCTATCTTTCTTTCTTTCTTTCTTTCTTTCTAATCTATCTATCTATCTATCTGTCTGACCAAGGTTTATCTGGATCGTGTGTACTGGTTGAAATCAAAACTGATATAGCGTCAGTCTGTCGGACGGGCGTAAGGGTCTAAGGCTATCTGAGTAGGACGTTCGTAAGTACCAGCAGTGTTCGTCAAGGGTGCCCTCTTTCGCCATTCCTGTTCTATCCCGTCATAGACAAATGCTGGAGAACGCACTTAGTGGTCTCCTAAGTGTTGATGTTGACTGGACAGCTGGAGAACAACAATGTGATTTACAGAACACCTAGGACATCTTTCGTCTGTTCGAATGTATGGGGGACGCACAAAACGCACTTGACAGAGTAGCAAGTTCCGTCGCTCCCTTGGGCTTGCGTTTTGCATCTTCAAAATGTAGTGTTGCGGCAAGACTAGTTGTCGCCGAGTTCCATTCAGAAACTCGATGCTCAGAAATTAGCTGAAGTTGACTGCTTCTCGTACCTGGGTAGCTGCGTAACCAACAATGGTAGCTCATCAAGGTTGATAACCGCCCGCATTTCCAAGGCACGAGCAGAGTATGCGGTGTATGGAATTCTCTTCCATCCCGTATTATGCGTGCCCTTACCGTGGAATTATTCAAAGCGTAGCTTGATAAAACATTGGAACATTTGACATTTCAACATATATGAGTGATCATGCATATTATTATGTTCTTTTTCTAAAGTTGTCCAAACCAGTCTGTAAAAATCCTATGAGGTGTGACAAGCGTTAGCTTTGTTTAATTGTCCTTACTAAAACTGACTGGATTTTTGCTTTATTCTTACGATGGGTCTGTTCTGGTCTAATAACTATAGCCGAAAACCTAACCCCTGGGGTATAGAATGTAAAAATGTGCATTTGGTTCAAGTGTAATATCCCTTTTTAGAGACATTGTCATTGAGGTTCAATCCCAGGAACTAATATGCTGGTAACCGGGACTTAACTAACCTAATCATCCCCATCCGGTCTAGCGATCAACGTTTTATATTCATAACTGATGTACCAAATCATAGTGTTTGTCTTCATATCGTTTTTAGTTCGGTCAACGTATTTTTCGTGGAGAATGTCACACGAACATTCTCAGTGACCATGACACCGAGTCTTTGCAGCTACTTTTCTGTGCGCTGTGCCCCGTTTCATAATACCTGTTTGTGACCGATGCAACTAGTCTATCCGCCTTGATGCTGTTTCTTCTTTCGCCCGATGCAGTGGGATTTGTAGATGCACCACGGGGCAATTCTGTCATTGTGCACCACCCAACTAGTCCATTCGCGCGAGTCCCTCGTGGGTCGGTAGTGCCCAATGTGGTCAATACAGCCCCGAGTCCGGTTGGCACAAACCAACCGACAACTGAATCACGTCAGAACATCGGTTCAGTTCCATTCTCGAAAATGCCAATCAATTCGTCGAATTCTGCCGACCCCCATGGGACCCGCTCGGCCACGAGTGCAACACGATCGATGTCTCTGTCCGCAGCTTCCGGCTGTTCTTCGTCTTCTGTTTGGAAGAAGCCTGGTGAGTTGATGATTGAAAGGTTACTGTATACCAATCGACGTAGCCCTCACTCCATTGTTTGTTGTGATCGGGCGGCACAGTTAATTTGTTTTTCGACTAGTTTGTCTATATCACTTCCATTTATTTCATTTCTTCACAACCCGTAGGCATAGTTCATTACGATAAAGCTTATTCGTTCCTTGTTGGCAGATAGGTTCATTAGAGCACAGATCAATAGTTTGATTTACCGCCTCTACTTAACAAATTGCATTGCGTTTTTAGGTTGCTTATCGCATGATTTCCTGCCACAGCTGTTCAACGGAATCCTCGCTTTGTTAAATCTATTTCACTGTAAGATAGTGTTGAAATAAGCGACGAAGGTGATTCAAAACAAGCTAGTAAAATTGATTTGTGGTGT